TTGGGGTATCATTTGCCTGCCATCGACACTTGTATAGGTTGGACACTGCGCAGCCCCGAGGGCACCGCCCTCAGCGGAGTCTATGTCACTGGCGTCCTCTGGAGTCAGGTAGTGCACCATGGGTGTGAGTGCTGGGGACAGTCCAGGATCAAGGAGTGGCCCTTCCCGAAAGGAAGACTAAGTGAGGGCGGAGGCCTGGGTGTCTGGAAGACCATAGAGCGGCAGGGGTCCCCACAGAGGAGATGGTCAGGATTAAGAGCAGGGGGAGAATGACATTATGTGACGAGCCAGCAAGGTCCAGGTTGTCCTTGCAAGGTGCAGGTTGCACTTGCTGTGAGCCAGGCCTTCACTTAGCAGCCACAGGCCCCGCTTCTTCAGACCAGGCCACTGCCTCCACACTGGGCCTCCATCTGACAGGCAGCGGGCCTATGCTAATGCTGCCACCTAGCATCCACTTGGGGTATTGCATTATCCAATGTCTGCCTACCTTTTTAAAAACAGGTACGGGGATTTATTCTTGAGATCCGTTTTAGGTGTATGGAGACATTGAGCAGAGCAGAGAGTTCTTATTTATTTTATATCCTTTTCATACAGTTTCTCCTACCAACATCTTGCATGGTGGTACATTTGTGACCACTGATGATACATTGTTATTAACTGAAAGCCGTAGTTAGCACAATGCCATGTATCTTTCACTACAGGATTGTGTACAATAGTTTCACTGCCGTTAGAATGCCCTGCTATTCCCTTAGCCATCCCCCGCACCCACCCCTCCCCTGAACACCTGGCAACCACAAACTCTTAACTGTCTCTGAGTTGTTGGCGGGTCTTGTCCAGCAGCTAGGACTCCTAGCCACCCTGTCTATCACAGAAACACCGGCCAGTCCTGCACCACCCTCACCATCGCCACTGTGTTTGAGCGAACTGAGGCAGGCCCGGAGTCTGTCTGTCTCACTGAGCCTCCAGTTGACCAAGAACGACGGCCCTCTCCACGAACTGGCCCCTCCTACTCTCATATCCAAGGGACAGGAGACGGCCTCTTGCCATCCTCACTGACCAGGACCACTCTGGCTGGACTTCTTCCAGACAGATAGGTTCCGTTTTCTGTCAGCCGATGGTGTAGTCAATATTCTCCACCAACGGCATCATCCAAGGGCATCACTTCCGGGACCAGCCTTAGTCACTCGCTAGCTTTCATTATGGGAAGCAATTTAAAATGCCGTGACTTGAGGCAGGTGCTCCGTAAGGATTATCTTTGGGTTGGTTTGTTTTAACACTTTAAATAGCTCTTGTGTGGCAGACGTGTCCAGTGACATCTATTGTTTGATGTCTGCACTGCTGCCCCCGTGGTCACGGATCCGAGCAGGAATACCATCCTTGGGACTTCCATCTTTTCTCCATGTCTCATCACGCTGCTGATCTCCTTGTGAGGACTTTTGTTTTCTTAACGTGAAGGTGTGATTCGTACGGAAGGTTGTAGACTTTCCTCTTCGTCCCTCCTTGCTTCAAGTCCTCTTGGTCTGGGCTCACTTTCTAGATAAGCACAATGCCATGTTCTGGGATTCCCATTTTTCGCAATGTTACTCAGAACATGCTGCTATGATCCACACAGTCAGAGGTCTGCATCGTCGGTAACACACACAGATCGGCATCTTGCCGGAATTCTCTTTCACACCAGGTCCATCAACATCAGCAATGATATCCCTCATTCCACATCCTCTTCTGAATCCAGCTTGAGTGTCTCGTAGTTCCCAGTCAATGTACTGCTGCAATGGTTTTTAAATGGTCTTCAATTCAATATCAAGAAGACCCAAATCCTCACAACTGGACCAAGAGGTCACATCATGATAAGTGGAGAAAAGAATGAACCTGTCAAGGATGTTGTCTTGCTTGGATTGCCCATCGATGCTCATGGAGGCAGCAGCCAAGAGATCAAAAGATGAGTAGCCCTGAGTTAAACCTGCAGCACAAGACCTCTTTAGAGCACTGGAGAGCAAGCGCGTTACTGTGAGGACTAAGGTGTACCTGACTCAAGCCGTGGTATTTGCAATGGCCTCGTATGGATGTATCTCCTTGGGATTGCTTATAGACACCAAAAGAAACGAGAAAAAAAAGAGAGACGCCATACAAATAGTTCCAAGTTGGCCCCGAGTAGATGAGTATCCCTCTGTTAAAGAGCGAGCTGGCCCTGTTATCACCCATCAGCCCAATCCCCTATCTTTCAGGGATCTACATCCCAGGACTCACTTACTGTGTGAGTCTGGGTACTTTAGAGAAACAAATCCACAGAAACTCATGTATAAGAGAGAGTTTGTTTTT